AACGAAACCCTACCCTTCGGCGGAGCTTCGTCCAGGTTCCTCTCTGCAAGCAGAGAGTTCGACAGACACCCGACCCGGCAGCTCACAAAGCGCAGATACTACACTTTGATCCTAGCCACCGGGTCGAGCGGGTATTCTTTTTATCGATACCACCAACACAAGATAGGCCCAGACATGTTCAGTGGAACGATAACAATCTCCTCTCGTAGATTAAATAAACGTTTCTTGGGTGTAATTCAGACCGACAGGCACTTGAAGAAAGCCGAAAGGCACAACGGCCAAATTGTTATGTTAATAACAACAAAGATAAGTTTTTTTAGCGCTTTTTGCAGTTGAAAAAGATATTAATTTGGAAATACTTGCAAAAATTAAATAATTGCCGGATTTTAATGAAACTTTCAGAGCTTATTCAAAACTTAATGTAATTACTTTAGAAATGTTTGTTTTTTAGAAAGTCATGGTACATTTTTTTTTTTACATCTGTTACCCCCACCTTACTTAATTTTATGAAAATTCAAATTGTGTATTTTTTAATTAAATGCAAAAAACTTTGAAGAATATAAATCAACGATTTTTTTTTGTAAATCGAGGAGCGTTTCTACCCAAATCTTAGCTCTGAATTGTAAACTATAAAACCCAATAAAACTAAGACATAATTTAATTAAAAAAACTTTAAATGGCTTTTATGAATAATACATATTAAGGACATTATTGTCTGAATCCAAAATATTTTTTGATGAAAAATGAATTTTACAAATATTTTTTTCTTTTTTTTTTCAGTTTTAAATACAAAATGTCATAAAGTTGTTAAATATTTAAAAATAAAGTTTGAATATATGTATCTGGAAATGCTCTTATTAAAATATATATTTTTACAGATCTTAAATTTGTAAGCTTATTACAATCTGCAAAGCGTTTCTATTTTTACAATAATTTTTTAATGTGCTAAAAAAAGTATTAAAAACGTTGGCGGCAAAACTACGGAGGCACAATTCAGAAATAATATCACGTGTTTTAAGAGTTGTTTCTCCTGATAGCGAGGATCCGGACCCATAAATTGCGTTGATTTCGTGACAAATTCTCTGACTGACCATCATCGTCGCATTTTCAAAATTTTTAATTTCCTTTTTTTTTTTTTTTTTTTTTTTTTTTTTTTTTTTTACATTTTCACGAAATATTTTCTTTTCATTTTTTTTTTTTTTAATATAATTATTTTTTTTCATTTTCAGTGAGAAACATACTACAATTATTGATTTTTCTTTTTTAGCTTCACTCTTAGGGACGGAAACAGTGCAGGCTTTAGACATATTTTCCTTTAAAAAAGTACCTAAAAAAATCAATAAAATATTAGACTTTTGAAAGTATTTAATTTTTAAGAATTACTTTATAGTTAAATAAGCTGGTTCACTTAAAATTCGAAAATACTGTCACTTCTGTCCTTCCGTCCGATAAATTGTCCTGACGTTAGTTGTCGATACATTGACGTAAACGTCAATTCACACCTTCAAAACCAATTACCACGGTTAGACAAGCTTCTCTAATTTCTAACTAAATTTTTTCGGATAAAAAATTAAGTAATGTTGGTTTCCAATTACATTAAGTATACTTTAAATTTTCTAATTTTCCTAAAATAACTTTTGAAAAAAAACATAATTAAATTTTACAAGATTTTTAAAGGGAGAATTTCATTTTGTTTACAAATTTGTCAAAAATGGCTAACATAATCTATTTTATGTAAATTTTTGCTGACTCAAAAAACAGACAAGATTTTTAAGTAAAATTTCGGACGTGCTAGAAAGGATTAAAATATTTAAAAAAATATTCTAAAAATATTTTGGTCTTTCCTCTTAATAATAACAAGCATTTAGACGATAAAAAATTGTTTAATCAAGTTTGGGACCTTTTTTCATCAGGGTATGCTCTTTTTTAGCGAAGTATTGAATATACCTAGATAAGGATATTTTTGTTTCGGATTGGTTAGAAAATAGGTCTTCGAGTTCTGGTTAGAAAAGATGATTAGATATTGATAAAAAGAAAAAAAAAACAACAACAACAAAAAAAAAACAGTGCGTGACATGATTCGCATTGCTGCGCATTATTTAGAGCAATCTTTTTCAACCTTCTTTTTTTATCTCACGGTACACTTGTACTTACAGTTAAACTTCGGCAGCACACATAAATTATGATATACCAAAAAAAGTATACTTTTTATGATTTATTTTGTAATAAAAAAGGTAATTGCTTGAAATTCTATATTATTTATTAATGATCTTACGATCTCACAGGAAACCGGTTGAAAATCACTGGTTAAGATGTGTTGTGAAATTGCGATGCTGAATTCACATTTTATTTATTTCTAGAGGCTTAGTGATATTGAAAACTGAAATATAGTGATCTGATTTGATTTTCATTCGTTTTCTTTGATCACAAGACATGTTTTCTACTACATCCGACACAATGAACCGAATTCAGTAGAGCCAATTTGAAGTTTACAACATCGGGTGTAAGCATTATTTCTACTTTTTCGGGGAGCTCTCTGGTTAGATGTTTATTCATGTGTCGGGTTTTGTGTCTGAGTACCATACCAGCATATGTAAGAAACATTCATGACAGTGCCAAACATATTACACACCTTCGCTGGAGACTCTCTCCCTAGATTTTAAGACAACATGCTTCAGTCTACAAATGCTGTAGGTAAATCTGTCCATGGATATGATCTTAATTTGGAATAGATTTTATGCTCAACCAAAAGATCCGCTACACCTTTAATACACATTGGAGAAAAAACAAATATTTACAGAAAAACAATAGTAATTATAATTTGATTTCAGTCAGTAAGACCGAAAAAAAAAATCAAAACTTTTGTAGCGGTATAAATGATATTTTAAAGATATGAACATGGAAATAAATTCCGACTTAAATTAAAGTCAATAATTGTAGTCTATTAAAAAATTATATATCCAGAATCTATCTTACTTATCTATGTCTACCATTGTCCATGCTTAGAATATTGCTGTCACATATGGCCCAGTGCCCCTGCTATTTACCTTGAGCTCCTTCATAAAATCCAAAGAAGAATCAGCAATATTATTGGTCTGATCCGGCGCCTCGGCTTCAGTCACTTTCACACTGTCGTAGGTTGCCTCCCTGTGTCTTTTCTATAAATACTTTTTATGGCAATTGTTCGGATGAGCTCTTCGCTATGGTATCCAGAGTTTTTTAATCTAAGCGCATCACTAGACTGGCATCGAGATCTCAATTTACAGTTAAGCTGGCTAGATATAGCCGTAAATTCTATGCTAACAGTTTATTTTCTCGCACTTCTCGCTTGTGGAACTCCCTTCCGGTTCCATGCTTTCCAGCCATTTTTTATCTGCAAAAATTTACATGCAATGTCAATCGCTATCTACTAGCACCTGATTACTCTTTCCCTTTCCCGCTCATTATTAATGTTTTCTGTTCCTAATTATTCCACCACAATGAATCCCAACGTGGGGCATGCGTAGGATGTGCACTCTTCAGCTTACGATACCAACAGAATAATTCGAGAATGAGTTATTAACAGTAAATTGTTTTTTAGTGAATCTGAAAGAGAGGGTTAATGCATGTTAATACATACGATGCATATACACTTATACATACATAAAAATATTTTGTGTGTATGTAAGTACAATTGGCATAGGGTATTTCCCGTCTCCCCACACTCGCGTGTCTCGTTCAACAAAGAAGAGGGCGTGATGCATATCACTGGAAGAGTCTATGTTTTGTCGGACAATCAGCGCCTGTAAACATTCAGTGTGCTTCCTTCACGTGAATTGCAGTAAAATTTTGAATATGTAAGAATTTAATTGAATTAAATATTACAGAGTTCACCAGAATTTTAGAAATACCAAAGTGAGGCATGTTGCCAAATCGGTTGGGAAACACTGCTGTAACCCCTTGTGTCTTAGTGGCTTTACCTTGCATGGGGTGATACCGATTAAAATATATATCCAGTTTTATTTAGAGTTTATCAAATGGAAATGTATTTTTTTTAATACGGATTAACTTTAGGCTATTATTATACTTCAAATAAAGCTAAAATTTAACTTCAAAGAAGAGATTTAAATTATTTAGAATGCATTTTGGGGTATTAATTTTAGGAAGTCCATGATGATACTTTCTAGTTTCCTTTATTTATTTTTTTCCTGAGGTAACCTTTAAAAGGATCCAAAAGAAGACCCAGGATAAAAAAAATTAAAACAAACTCGGAAGTTAAAAAAAGAGTAATGTTAAAAAACACAATAAAAAGATATGTTAAAGCAATTAAAAATCAATAATTTTTTAAAATTACAACAGCAAAATGCAAAGACTTTTTAGTTTTTTGGCTCCAATCCTATCAGTTTTGTTTTTTCTTTTCCATATTTAAAAAAAAAAAACATGTTCGTAGCAGACGACAAGTTTATGAAACAAAAAAGATAACAAGATTCGTACCACGCAGAAGAAAAATAGAATTATAATAATTTTTATCAATTTTAATATTTTTATAAAATCCAACTTTGATATAAATATATCAACTGAAACTATCCACGTTAAGTGTTTTATTTTCTTAATAGTACTTTTCCTGCCACTGTCTTGTCTTTATATAACAGGATGAAGTGAAGTGCGCATGTCTGTAGTTAGCGGAAGTTGAGCTTTTGTTTACGAATTGTTAACAAACCTCCGAACTTCGAAGCAATGCTAATAAGGTTGGATTTTTTGTTGTTGGAGAATCCAACGACAACTAAACCCACCAAGAAGACAATTAAGTATAAAAAAAATCTTAGTTTGATGAAAGTTTCGATTTAATGATTTCATTCATTAGTAGAGCAACAAAAATAACTTAATTCCTTAACAAATATTGCCTTATTTCGGATCGGTTTTTCTTTCTTTTTTTTTTTTTGACAAAAAAGTAAAAACTTTAAACGTTGTTATTAAAAAAATCGTTTGCATTTTATTATTCTTCTTGTTATTGATATGCAATGGCCGGTAGCAATTACACAACAGATGAAAAATTGGGTTTACTTGTTGACAGCGAAGAAGAAGGTACGTAAGTTTGGTTTTTCCTTGTTTCATTTAGACTAAGAGATACAACCTTTTTTTTTTTTTTTCCGAAAATCAAAATCTTATTATTTATACGAGATAGAAGCTAATAATAATCGTTAAAGACTTTCTCAGTTTTTCAAAGTAGTCTTACTCTGTGCTTTTTTTTTTTTACGGCCAAAAGTTTAAAAGAATAATAAAGTATAAAACATTCAAATTGAAAGAAAAGCTTTTTTTAGCTTTCTTCTATATTCTAAGCCTTCTTTGTTATCATAATCATTATTATATAATAATAAAATGAATAAAATCATTTTTAAATTAAATAAAACAAAATAAAAACTATTTTGATAATAATACTTTACATTTAAAAATGCGATCGTCAGATAATTAACTTTTTGAGCAAAGCTGTTGGTGATTTTTCGATGCATCAAGTTTTTGTGCATTTAACAAAGAATTTAAAACTAAAAGGAATTCTATTTTCAATCCGTTTTTACGGTTTTCTGATTTTTATCTTTACATTAAATTTAAATCGTTCAGTTATTTATACTTTAACTTTAATACTTATGAAAGAAAGAGGGAAAAGATTAAAGAAGAAAGAGTTTATCTTTTACTCCGTGAACCTGCTTGATGGTTAGCGTTTTTTACTACACAATGAATAATAAACAAGTATCATTAAACAACAATAATAATAATAAAAACAATTTTAAATGTAAAAACAGTATTTTTATTACAAAAATAAATTTTAAGAAATACAATAGAGATTCAAATTTCAAAGTTTCTTCTGTGTGACAAATTCGTGCTTTCCACTTCAAGTAAAAACATTTTTTAGAAAATTGTTCAATCTTTTAAGAAAAAAGATTTATGCTGATAAAATTAAATTGGTTTTTTTACTTTTATTTTCTTTTTAACTACAAGTTTTTAAAGGTACCAAAATTGTTAAAATAAAAGAAAGCTAAAAAAGAAAATATTTTTGGGTTGAATTGTATATTCAATATCTGTGATTGACTGAATTTGAATGTAAAAAAAAAAAAAAAAATTGAATCTAATTAATATGAATATTCATTTCTTCATTAAGAAGGTTTTTAACAAATATTCATGTTTATGGAGCATGTAAAACAAGTCGTCACGTGACGTTAACTGAAAAATAAAATAAATTTTTTATCTTTAATTATCGCATTGTAAGTCACAACCTAGCATTTTTTTCAAATTTAGATACAGTAACTTTTGTATAAAAACTGTAGTGTAGCATATGCTGTTATTTGTCAGTGTTATGTTACTGTTATTGATTTTTTTAGATGAACTAACTGTAGTGTACACAGTACACACTAGTAACAACTCTTACACCATGACAGGTACCGTATGAGGACATCTTAATTAAAAGTTTTTAGAGTGAATGTTGTTAAATAAAATTTCAATCACTTTCTGCTAGATTTTTCATTGTCTAGCTAGATTTTTTTTATAAACAAAAAAAAAACATTGTCTTGCACAGTAAGAAGCGACTGTTTTTAGTTTCTTTAAGTATCTGATTTTTTTTGCTATGTATTTGAGTCATTTTTGAGACTTTATAATTTTATAAATGACCTTTTTTCTTAAAAAAAAAAAAAAACACTATTTGAAATCAAGCTGGTTTGTCTGTAGTGTAAAAAGTAATAAGTCCATTCTTCTTAAACATCTGATACAAATAATCCCAGTTTTGTCTTATACTACTTTAATTGTATAGCCAAAAATTGGAATTTTTCTTTGTTTCCAGAAGTTTTGTATTTTTTAAATTGTGTTTTTTTTATTTTTTTTTAAATAAATTTTGGAGATTTATGATTGTTTATAAAAATAAAGACAGAAAAAAAAGTGTTAAAATAAGGTTTACAAAATATGCATTTATAAAAAGTGAAGCTGAAAAAGCATCTTTTTGATTTGTCCTAAGTTTCTCTTTTGCAATGATTGCTTTTATTTTCAGAAATCTTTAATGCGCAAGATGAAGAACTTCAAAAGAAAAAGGATTTTACACTATACGAAGATGCAATTGAAGCAACAGGTGAATATATAATTTTTTAGAAATAAAAACTAAACACATCTTAAAAGTAAATTTTAAATGTTAATAACTTAATTTCTATTAAAATTTTAACCTCTCTGCTTATGATTTGTTTTTTTATAACACCAATAGACATTGTTAGACAACAAGTTATAAATAAATAATTGAGCAACTATTGGTGCAAATTTGAAAACAGTTGTCACAATAGCCCTGACTCAAGGCAAGGCGATACCTGTAGGTATCAAATTGACCTGAATTCTTATTGAATCCACTTCAGGAGTAAAAAAACATTGAAAAAAGTTGTTTTTTTCTTTCTTTCTTTTATTTGATGTTCGAGAAAATAAAATTTTTACTTTGTTTAAATTGAAGAAATGAATGGAAATTTGCTAACCATTACTGCTCTTCTTCACATATCCGGATTAAGTGATAAAAAAACCTATTTGGATTGTTGCCAAATTTTATGCACTATATTTTTTGTAAATGTTCTGGTAAATAAATTTCTATTTTGTTTCCCGAGCCCTGATATCCCTTCAAATTTTTCCCAAATCGTCATAATTCCGTGTAAATGTACATGCTGAACTCGAATTAACAATTAAATTATGAAGAAACTTTACCGTTTTGGAGTTATCGACAAGAAAAAAAATCGGACTTCTTGTTGATCATTCGTCCCCCCTTACTGCCATCATGAACCCTCATTCGTTGCGGGATACTTGCGCTTGCCTTGGGCCTATTTACTTCTTTTACAGACTTTCCTTGCAGAAAATCATTACGCACTACCGTAAAGAAATGTAATTTTTTTTTTTTTTTTTTTTTTTGATAAGTTTAGTTTTATTTATAACAAAAACGAATTAAATAATACAATAGAACCTTTTTTCCGTTTCGGATAGCAATGACAAATTAAAAGAAGAAATTAAATAATAAAAATTAAAAATAAAGCATTTTTTATATTGTAAAAAAATTGAAAATAAAACAAAAATTAATACACAAACTTGGTAAGTAGAAGGGTTGATTGTATTATTCAATTTTTTTTTTAATTTGTCCCCTTTTCTACACAGAAAACCCCAACCCTTACCTTAACGCCTAACCCTAAAAGTTACTTTTTTTTAATTTGTCCCCTTTTCTGCACAGAAAGAAAAACCCAACCCTAAAGTTAATCTTTAGGATTAGGTGTTAAGGTTAGGGGTGTGGTTTTCTTTCTGTGTAGAAAAGGGGACAAATTAAAAAATAAAAAACATTAAATAATTTACCAAGTTTGTGCATTAATTTTTTTTATTTTCAATTTTACAATATAAAAAATGCTTTATTTTTATTATTTAATTTGTTCTTTTTATTTGTCATTGCTATTGGAAACGGAAAAAAGGTTCTATTGTATTATTTAATTTGTTTTTGTTATAAATAAAACTAAACTTACCAAAAAAAAAAAAAAATTACATTTCTTTACGGTAGTGTGTAGTGATTTTTTGCAAGAGAAAGTCTGTAAAAGAAGTAAATAGGCCCAAATTTTATGACTCCACCAAAAATCTTTCCGCGGCAAATTACTTCTCAACAAGCCGGTAATGGCTGGTGAAAGACCGGGAAGAAGTCTGATTTTTTTTCTGGTAGTTAACATCCAAAAAGGCAGGTTACTTCACGATCTAATTGTTGATTTGAGTTCAGCGTGTACATTTGCACGGAAATAAGACTATTTTGGAAAAATTTGAAGGGATATTAGTGCTTGGGAAACAAAATAGAAATTTACCAATATCTTAATTTTAAGAGGATAAATATAAATGATAAAACTTAAATTTGTCAAATAAAGTTTTAAAATATTTTTTTAGTGTCTATGAATTTTGTGCAAAAGTAAAAAAAAACAAAACATTCTAATAATTTGTTTTTCCTTTATTTTCATCATTTTAATTTCTTGTTTTATATCTTGTAGAGAACTCAATAATTCCATAGCCTAATAATGATTCAAAAGGATTTATTTTATATTACAAAGATTTATTTATCAACATGATTGCCTTTAGTACACTTATGCTTCTCTCACAGTGATCAAATATTATTCAATGAAAATTTCAGATCAAACCTCAGCTAATAACTATCCTTACATTTCATAAATATCTATAGAATTAAAAAAAGAAGAATGATTAAAAATGTACAATACCCATTTATTTGTAGCATAAGTATAAATAGATGTGACAGATGTTAATGATTTTCTTTTAGTTTCATAAGCACATTAAATCAAGTAGACTTGCCATAGTTAAAAAAAAAAATGAAAAAACTCTCACAATTGTTTGTTGAATTGATAAAAATTAAGTAATCGATGCTTTAATTTTTTAGGAAAGGTAAAAATTGATTTTTGGTGGCTTATGTTTTTTTATTTTGATTTTCATGGGTCATTTTTTAGGTCAGTTTATTTTGTTCTGGTGGTTGAAGAGGTTGACTCGGTCAGTATTTTTACAACACAATGCATACAGGTATTCAGTAGAACATTATTTGTTTACCTTTCTGTTGCAATATGCATAAAAGCAGAACAGTGCTATGGACATTTAAAGAAAAAGATAAACATCTTTCTACATACTTAAGAATTGTCAATTTACATAAAAATATTTGTATTTAAAATGAGCATAGTTGTATTATTGGTCTTAGAGTGCCTGTTGTAATACAATGGTTAGTAAGCTACTAACTTAGAGATCATTATTATTAATGGCTGATACTCACTGAGTACCCATTTTCTGTAATCTTATGCCAGACTAAGATATGTGTAGTAATTTCTTAGTATATTGGAGAGGCACGGTGGAGTAATGGATAGAGGCTCGGACTGAGGTAATTAGAGAGCTGAGTTCGAATTCCAGTCAAATCCATTACATTCAGTTCGTGCTAATACCCTTGGGAAAGGTATGAGAGGTATCCTCTTCTTCTTCCAGCTATGGCTAAATATCAGAACAAACCTGGTTCTATAACCTTGGATGGTCTACTGCAGAAAGAAATGGTAACCTACTGTGGGAAAAATCGTCAGTCATGTATCGAAAGATACATGATCGCCTAAGTGTGTATCATGCATGGCACAAAGAGTGAATACTAAACAAAAAAATTTTCTTTATTTTCATTTGTAGAAAATGACAAAATACAATTTTGTTTGCAGTAAAACTAATTTAATACTTGTAATGGAAAATTGGGTCAATCTGACAAGAGACCCAGAGTTGGTTGCATGTGGTGCAGTAAGCACCAGGAGATATCCTCTTCCACAATGGGCTGTTAAGTGAAGACCTTCTACTTAGAGTAGGTGACACTGACAAAATTTGCCTACAAACGATACTGGGTATGTATTAGCCAATAGTTAGTGTAGGTCTGGAACTGAGAGAGCTATATAACACCAACTTTTTCTCAGTCGGCAGGGAGGACTCTTGAAATGTGGAACATCAGTTTTGATTTGGAGTTTACATTTACTTTACTTAGAAAACCAGACAAGATGAACACAATACTCTCATTAAGGAAAAACTGTCTTTATAGAATCTTAAAAAGAAGAATTCATATTCTATATTAATGTGTTAAAAGTCATAGGAGTCTTAATATTATGTAGGACCCCTTCTAACCTGGCAAAGTGCAACAGCTCAATGTGGCGTTGATTCCACAAATGATCAGAAAACTTCTGGAGAGATGTTGAGCCATGTGATAGCTGTCCATGGCTTCCTGATATTTGTAGGTGCAGGATATTGTATATGAATAGACTTCTTTACTACATCCTATAAAGTTTTAATTTGGCTCATGTCTGGCAAATGTAATGGTTACACCATTTATTAGCAATTTTAAAAATGCTTCTCATTCCAATTCTGGGCAAATTGCACCCAATAAAATGGTGCATTATCCTGCTAAATAATACCCATTGGCATACAGGGAATCCATAAATGGGTGCAAATGGTCATGAAGTAGTGAAATGTAGAAGTTACTGGTCAATGATGTGTTTAGACAGACCAGCAAACCTAAATCGTGCCATATAAACATGCAGATAATTCTAGCCAAACACTTCTTGTCATTATCATTAAGGACCAAATCATTGGCTGCTGTGCCATCCATGGTAGATGATAATACCTTCTATCAATTATTCCTAGCATACACATGGCACCATAGATCAAGAGATATCAAATGTCCCTACAATTTAAAAAGTGGAATATTTCATTTATTTGGCACCCCGTCATGCCTCCTTCATACTCTGATAATTCATGTTACCTTGCTATGAGCAGCTTAGCTGGTGTTCACACTGACTCATCAAATGTCAGAGCACAAATTAGGTCTGGGCATTTCCATGATGTCAAAGTACAAGGTGCAATGGATAAAATGTTGTTTAAATTACACAAAAATGAAAATAGCTCTAACATCTCATTTTAAGAGATATATTTACCAAAATTACACAAAAATATCTTGAAATACTAAAGAGTAAATTTATTCAATATAATCACCATTGGCTTCAACCAAAGCTTCCAGAAGACTTCAGAATCTCTTGCAACTTTTCTGAATGGTCTCCTTGTTTAAGTTGTTGAATGCTGCCATAATCCTTGCCTTCAGTTTATCTTTGGTGTTAGAAGTTCTGTTGTTCTCTCGCTCAACTGTGCCTCACGCATAATAATCAAGGAGGTTGCAGTCTGGGGAGTTAGGTGGCCAAGTGTAAAGGATGGTGTGATCGTAGAAATTGTCTGACAGCCATGACTGGGTTCTCCTGCTTTAGTTGCTTGGTGTAGAGTCCTGTTGCTAGACATAGGGTCTTCTAGCATCCACCCTCTTGACTCAGGGCAACACTACCTCCTCAAGTTACTTGATGTAAGTTTCTGTTTTGAATCTGAGGCCCTCACCAACAAATTTGGGAGTTCTTTTCTTATCAAAGTCAATTTTCCAAGCTGCCATACCTTTGTAATCACCATTAGACTCATCCAACTCTTCCCGAATCTTCTGCACTGTCCTTAGATTGACATCCAAAAACTCTGAAAAGTTCATGTTGGAGCTTCCAGCACAAATGCCAAGCAGTACAGCATACTGTTTCCAAATTTCTGGCAAAGTAAATTGCATCATTGTGTTCTTTTTCTCACAGATGGTGCCCAACTGACACTAATATATTGTGCAGTTAACAAAATCAAAAACAAACAACATGCATGTGTGAAATTAAAAATATAAAATGGAGATAATTTACTCATTGCACCTTGTACATTGGTGCAGCTTACCATTAACTTTAAATACTGTAATCCCATAACTTTTGGCACTTCATTTTAATTTCTTAAAATTTCCTGAAACAAATGTTGCTTAGATTAAAATAGGTCTGTTCATTAATGAAGCAGTTGCAAAACCACCATTTTTTTTTTTTTTTTTTTTTTAAATGTAATTGGTGCATTTTCTAATCTACTTGAAATTTTAAAAAAAGCTGTCAGCAACATCTGGTTAATTTTATCTCAATAATTTACTTGACAAAAATGACAACAAATGACAAATTACTGTAAATAATATAAAATAAAAAAAGAAGTTTATACCATTAATAAAAAGTGGAAGATTTGAATTAAAAATTCAGATTATAAATAAGTGTATTAAACTATTCTATTGAAATTACTTCCTTACCCAATTAATCTGCAAAAATGTCTTAGGATGAATGAATATTTCAGGTTTTTCAAATAAAGTAAAAATATATTAAAAATCAGGGTAATATATTTTTTTAAGCTAATATGTTTGGTAAATACTTTTCCCTTTCTCAAGAATAATATTTTGACATTTACCAGTGTTCTTAAAAACTTTCAGTCTTTGCTTTTCACTAAACAAGGATAGATTTTTTTTTTTTTTTTTTTCAAGTAACATAAAAATTTTTTTTTTTTTTTGTGTGTGTGTCATTTTCAGAGAAAGAAAGTTCAGGTCGAATTACTTGGATAGATGCAACTGTTTTCTAAAAAAGTTAAAATTAAACATTTTCAAGGAACTTATTTATTTGAAGTATCCTCCTGATTTTATTTAACTCTTTATGATGATTGTATCTATGTATATATTCTTATTTGAAGAAATCTTTGCACTGATGTTAACCAACCTTTTATGTATAATCTACAATTTTACAGGGCTGTGGAGTCAGAACACTAAACCTTTGACTCTGATGCCTCCATTTTTGGCACCAGTGACTCTGACTCCTCTTTATGCAATTAAGTGATTATGGCCTACAAATCTCAGAAAGACTATGCATACGCTCCTACCTTGTGTAGGCCTATATCATTATAATTGGCTTATATCAAAGAATAAAGATATTGTGACTTTTATATCATACCTATTTATTCTTCAATATTTTCTAACAGAATTAGACAAAATCTTTGAAAGGATATACAAGAAATAACAATAAAAATCTATAAATATGTAAGACTTTATATATACTAACTCTAGTATCCACTTAATTGCTTCCAACTCCAACTCCACGACTCCAACTTTGACCCCACAGCCCTGCAATTTTATGCCACTTATGTGAAGGGTTACCTTATATTTCATCAATGGTAGGGGTATTCAATAACATTATGTTTCACAATATTTGGGAGATAAAATTTTAGTAAAACTAATTATAAAACTGCTCAAGGTTTGTTAATATTCATTGTATCTATGCATTTAGGAGAGAGACTTTTATTAGATCTGTAGGAAAGGATTATGTTGATTCCAACCTACTGGGAAATGACTGCAAAACACTTGTCCTTCCCTAATTTATAGACAAAAGTACACAAATGCATGCTGGGATATTTTCTTAGCCAATAAAATAAGCTGGTTCTTGGTTTTATCTGACTCGGTACCAGTTTATCTTGTCTTAAAGTGAGAACGCTACATTCGCTTGTCTGAATATGCTTTTGTGTGTCAGCCTCAATTTTTTGTGAACTTTTTGCCATATTACTGTTGCTTTGTCTTGCATATATTGTTTGCTTGCTTTATATTATTTTTGCCCTGATTTTTCTGTCCTTATTGCAAAGTTTGTCAATTCTGTTTGTTAGACAGTTCTGTCATTTATTTTGTATTTAACCATGGCTACTCACTCCACAGATTACAACAGAATAAATATCTTACTCTATTGCCTCACTTAACAGAAAAACTAGATTTATTGAACATCTAATTTTTAGAATATTAATTTCACATAATTTCAACATTTAAGTGGTAAGACTTTAATACTTTTTGTTTTTAATTGCTATCTTGTAATGGTTTCACAAATTTTGATCCTTCTGTCTAATCTGAAAATTTGTTAAACCAAATATATAAAGAAGTAATGCCTTTCAGTGCACTGAGATTATACATAAAATTTTGAATGCTGACAAAAAAATCTAATAAGAAATTATATTTTAATACAACTTTTTTTTCACTTTAACAGAATGTCCTATTAAAAATGACACTTGGAAGTTAGTATTTTACAAGTATCCTAATACTGAAACTCCATTTTATAATTGCATAGGAGAAGAGAGTGAGAGTTTTCCTTTTTATTTATGTAAATTCCTCTTTTGTAGGCAATGGTCGATATCATATTCTGCTATTAATAGTGTGTGGCTGGGCTGTATCAAGTGATGCCATTGAAATCCTTTCCTTGTCTTTTGCTCTACCCCCAGCCAGCTGTGACATGCAACTGACAGCAGTAATGAAAGGATGGCTCAATGCATCAATGTTTATTGGTAAGGAAATCTTGTTAGATTATAATGATGAAAAAAAGCATTTACTTTACACAACAGATATTTATTTTCAAGATAACATAATCTCTTAACTTCTCAATGAACTTTCCCCAACACTTCTTCATTAATCATATTAAACAAACAATAAATAAAACCATGCAAATTTCAGATCAAAATTCAGTTAATAACTGAATCAGACTACAGACTTATTGATCCACCTTCATAAATAAATTGTGAAATAGACCTCCTTTGACTTTCTTGACCTTTTCACTTTTCCATCACTCTTTTGTCTGACTTTTCTCTTTTGGGTGCACACACATGTTTGCAGAGGATATTTTATGTACTAGATTTTTATATTTGGATGAGAATCCAACAAACTGGTAAATACATAAGACATTTTGGAAAACCTTTAATTTGATATGCTTCACCAATTATCATTGTCATCATAAAAATATTGAACTAAAAAAAAACATTTTTCTTTGATTGGTGAAACATGTCAAATTACATGTTTTTTAAATTGTCTTATATATTTATGAATTTTATTTTGTAAAATGTTTTATCCAATTACATATGTTGCTTCAATGATTTGAATAAATTTAACAAAAATCCACCTAACAAAGAATTAAAAAGAATGTTGAAAATTAAAAATTTTTTTGTTGTTATCTGCTGAGTTTGACTTTTTCTTTTCTTTTTAATTGTGCACCCAAAATTGATTCTGGAAGAGCCTGTAGCATGACTGATAAAATTTTTGTCCCTACAAAAGTTTTAGGATTTACAAATTTGCTTATTAAGATTACATTAATTTTTTTTTTTTTTTTTTTTTTTTCATGATAATTTTTGCCTTTCATAAAGTGGACTGCATTCATAATTGCATATTTTTTATGCTGTATGATATTTAACATCTGTTGCTGATAAACAAATTGCAGGAATGCTTATTGGTGGCTATCTGTGGGGCAGCCTGGCAGATAAGATTGGACGTCGAAAAGTATTACTTGGATCCTTAACAATCAATGGCTTGGCTGGCCTTGCTTCAAGCTTTGCCCAGATCTACTGGCTTTTTCTCTTATGCAGACTTATCAGTGGAATTGGGTAAGTGTAGAAAAATAATTAAAATTGTTTTCATAATTTTTATTTATTTATTTTTTATTTTTTTTTTTTTTTTGAACCGTTTCACTCCATGTAAGGCAATAGGGCCACTAAAACACAAGGGTATTACTGTGGGGTGAAAGAAAATGGGAAAGATGTCAGGGAGGATAAATGACAAAAGGAAGAGAGAAAATGGCAATTGATGTTGCACTTAAATTTTTGGATATCCTAGGGAATGGGGAATCAAGAAGCCAGAAGAGAGTTCCACAGGCAAGAAGTGTGTGTGAGGAAAGAAAATTATTAGAATAAAACTTACAGTTGCGTCTATCTATTTCAACAATGTTATCTTTTCACTAATTTATGTTGAGACTGATATGGTAGAATATTCTGCCAACCTGTCATATTAGTTTGGTAATTTACCAATGTAAATGTCAGTGCAATGCTGACAGAATGTAGACAGACATGGTCAGAGTTTGGAAGCACAGATCAACCAACATGTACCAGTCACTATTCAAAAGGGAAAGGAGGAAAATTTACATAGGTGCATAAATACTGTACAACAAGTCCAGCAATGTGCCTGGTCTTATATCTATGACATGTTCTCAATGGTGAGCAGCACTAATTCCAAGTATTACTTGAAAGTTTGGATCTGTGTACATTAAGTCCTACCAGCCATCTCTCTTAAAGGAGTGGTTATTGGGCTTAAAGGCCTTTATGCATTACATTTTTTTTTTGCATATAACATTTGTTTTAAGTCTTATATTTTTAGTTGCAGTGTACATTTTTGTCCTTGACCTTTGCTCTCATGACAGAGGACTATTAAACTGGTTTAGTTGTCATTTTGTCATCCGGTGTTATAATTCAGTATTACCATGTAATGTCCATTTTTTTTTTTTTTTTTTTTTTTTTTATTGCACTAATAATCTTTCTTCCTAAAATGATTTATATTGAAGATGCCAGGTTTATGTTTCAAAAACTTGTTAATCTCTTTTCTAATTGTGATTCAATCCAGCTTGTAATTTCATTGGCTTTTTTTTTTTTTTTTTTTCCTTCCTCATGCTTTTTTTCATTTCCATTTCCTAGGGTTGGTGGCAGTATGCCTGTGGTGTTCACATATTTTTCAGAGTTTCAGTCCAAAAAAAGGCGTGGAGCAATGATATCAGCCCTTGCCACATTTTGGATGGGAGGCAACATTATTGCTGCTGGCAAGTTTTCTTGTACTACTTTCCCTTGAAAATATTTTAGTGATTACTTTTATTATATTGGTTATGCTTACAGAACTGTTGCTGAAGTTATCTTCAGTAGTAGGGTGATAAATTTAGATTTTTTTGCTTTTTTTTTGCATTTGTTATCTGAAGATTACAGCATGATTTTAACTTCTGTAGCCTTTTTACTATATTCTTTTATATGCCATATCTCTTCAGGACGAGTGATCATGGCTCTTCACAAATTATTGTCCCTTTCATCTCTAAACAACATTTAACTATTTTCCCCTCTGTTTTTGTCCTCACATTGTCATCCATTTACACAAACTTATTACATAGGTTACTTACTGTTACCCCTCTGTCCTCCCTTTCTTTGGTATGGTCAGTGAATAATAAATGTTCTATACCCTCTTTCCTCATATGTTCCAGAAATTTCTACTGTCTCTCTGATTTTTAAGTATTTGTTTCCTTCTAGTTCCCATTTCTTTCAAACTTCCTCATTGGGTACTGAATTTATGATGTAACATTTCTGAAAATATCTGTTGCAGGCCAGTGTATGCATTTAAAGATAAACATGTGTGTCTCTTGAAATGCCCACAACAAACATGGCAGACTCAAGATGTGAGTCCAAATAAATAAATGAAATCAAAGGACAAGAACCATTATATATGTATAAACAAATGATAATGTATTAACAATAAAGGGTTACAGATGACAAAGACGTAGGTGTCAAATGAATGTGGAAACCATTTTGGTCTAAAGTATGTGTACTGAATGAATGTGTGTGTTGTTCATACTTGTCAAAGTAGTCTATCATTGCTATTTAATGCATGATGCATATAGTAAAAATTTGAGATGTTGTCATATCATCAATTCATTCTAGTCCAGCTAAACTTTAACAATCCTAAATCTATGAGATATGTTTACCCCTAATCTCAATGACTGCAAGAATATCAATAATGAAACAATAAAAATAGAGAGGATTTGAAGGAATCGAATTGTAATGAAGATTTTCTGCGCAAATGATCTTTTTTTTAATTTTGTGATGTGCAGTTATCTTTTAACAATATCCAAAAAACATATCTTTAAAAAAAATTATCATCAACACTCTCTACTTTATTTAAAAAAAAAACAGAAAAAGAAATCAGTATCACCTAGAAGTAATTAGTTATTATATATGAACAAAAATTAGCTAAGACAAAAATAAGACATTGGATAAAAGATGTAAATAAGAGAGTATAATTTCGTGTTTGGATGTGCATTTAATGTAGTGGTTATTGGCAATGAAAGTGGGATTGGCATTCTGTGTTCAAAATACACTTGAGGTCATTGCACAAATATCCTTTGGTTTATACCTTCTCCCCTCAGTTATGGCTTAAATAACAGAGTAGGTTATTTAGTCTAGGAGAAGAACACTGAATAGGCATGTGTCTAGTACCTCCACCAGAAACCACTGTAGCAATACCTAATACAGTGAAGCTGTAGCCCTATTCTCAGCAAGGGAGTCTGTAGGACATACACATATACATTGCAATTAATTTTTTGCATATTTTGATACAGCATTTTTTTTTTTTTTTTTTTTTTAAATGTTTGTACTATCTACTATGATCTAAAAATTGCTAAGTTTTTAGTGCATTTTAGACATGCAAAAATTAAATTTTTATTTACATGTATTTTTTTTTTATCACTTAAAAGCTGAATTAGATTGCTGTACATTAGATATTGGTTCATGTTTATTTTTATCTATTGACAGGACTTGCATGGGTAGTGATTTTGTATAGCAGAGTCAACGTTGTCCTTCTTGACTTCTCCTATAGCAGCTGGAGACTCTATTTGTCTGTATGCACTCTGCCCAGTCTCACATCCGTCCTCATCTTCCTGTTGATGCCAGAAAGTCCCAAATTCTTGCTGCTGGTTTGTATCTGAACATTTCTTCTTCTTTAGAAATCTATATTAATACCGAGAATTACAGACTACTTCATCAAATAACTTAACTCCCTGATTGTTAATACTGTAGTGAATTCAATCTAAAATAATTGACTGAAATACTAAATTTCTCTTCACCTATTATTGAAAAATGGATTCCTCCCTCTACTATGAATTAGATGTCTGCTCATGGAACAGGGACAAAAAGTGGATCACAAAAGCATAGCATTTTTAAGTTGTAAGTTTGTCGCATTAAACAACTGTATTTTCAATCCATGTTCTCATGTGATTAAACTCTTCATTTAACCTTGTGTTTCAGTGTTTTTACATTCTTACTAACCAGCAACTATGAGCATTATACAAACTTTATAACATAATCTGAGTTAATTTCAAAATGGAGAGCCATCTTGTTGGCCTATCCTAGCTTTAAACCAGAAAATTTGACCATGTGTTCGCTAAAAAACATGATAGCCATTTTAATTGTAAATAAAAGAAGACTTCTGGCTTTGAAAATATTTTTCATAAACTTTGACCAAACAGTTTGTAGTTGGAGAAATTAATGTACAAGAAATGTATGAAGAAAATTAACTTTCTTTTTAATTTGTAATTTTGATATTTGATTTAGCTCATTAATTCTAATTCTAATTTATTATGGTTTTTAGATTAAAATTTAAATTTGTCAAGAAGACAATAGAATAATGTGTAAACAGTGAACATAATGTTTATATAGATAATAAATAATATTTGAGTCAAAACTAATTTGTAAGATAATAAATGAAAACTAAGTTATAAATATTGAATATCTTTCTGTTAAACAGTATTAACTGTGAGATATAAATGTTTATGCTTTACATTTTCTCATCCATTGTAGAATGGTAAAGAACAAGACTCATTGTTGGTTTTAAGAAAAATTTACATGGTGAACAATAGGACCAGTTCATTGGCAGATTTTCAAGTAAGTATTTATTTCACATTATTTCATTTAGTATTCATTTTTAAGTATACTAATGATTCTTGAGTAATAACATCAGTGCATCTATCATGAACTTAATAATAAAAAATATTCTTTATAGGGATGTTAGATGTTTTCGCTATATATTAAAAAAGAGGGCGTTGGGTAAATTGTTGCCATTTTATTTTTTATTTCGCACACGCGTGTTGTTTGTTTTTGATTATGTCAACTATACAAGGGTCAGTTGGGCACCATCTATAATAAAATGAGCACCATAACACAATTCATACTGCCAGAAATTTGGAAACAGCATGCTGTACTACTTGGCATTTGCACCAGAAACTCTAATACAAACATTTCAGAGTGTTTGGGTGTCAATCTGAGCACAGTACAGAGGATTTGGAAAGAATTGGATGAGTCTGATTACAAAGGTATGGTATCTCAGAAAACTCACTCTGATCATTCTGATAAGAAAAGAATTTGTTGGTGAGAGCCTCAGGCTCAACACTGACGCCTATATCAAGTGCCTTGAGGAGTTAGTGCTACCCTGGGTCAAGAGGGTGGCTGCTGAAAGACAGGACTCTGCACTATGCCACACAAGTGGGAGAACCCAGTCATGGCTGTCAGATAATTTATTCAACCACATCACCCCTTACATCTGGCCACCTAACTCCCCAGACTGTAACCTCTTTGATTATTATGTGTGGGGTGCAGTTGAGAGAGAAACCAACAAAATTCTTTATAACACCAAAGATGAACTGAAGGCAAGGATCATGGCAACATTCACCAATTTATACATGCTTGATAAGCTTGTCTTTTATACTGTTAGTTCTTTTATTCCCTTATGCATACCTGCTTTATCTGTAATAATAATTCTTTTTGTATCTGGACATACTTCATTGAGTCAGACCTCTTTTGCTTACCTGCATTTGTTCCGAATTTCTTTGTGCAATGTCCTATATTCTATGCCATACTTGGCATGGGTTATTGTCTATTTTCATCATATCAAGAATTTCATGTCATCCATTCCTCTTTTTTTTTTTTCCTTGTTTAGTTTTCTTTGGGATGATCTTGTTTACTGATGTTACTAAAACTTAATGTGTCTCACTTTGAATTTTCATTCTCAGTTCGTTCTTTGTATCTGCTTTTAATGATGCCCATATATTTAACCTTCACATTAGGCTCACTCAGGAGTCTGTCATATTGAAATTTGGGTTCTGCCATGGCCCTCTTCAATTTCTGTAGTTTTACTCTAAATTTACATATCACTGGAAGGTAGTTACTCATGCAGTTGGTACTTGGTGTGTTTTGCAATGGAAAACTGCTTTCTTGAATCTCTTACTGATCCAAATGTAGTCAATTTGGTTACTAGTTTTTCCTCCTAGCTTTCTTCATGCCCATATAGATCTTGGGTATTCTTGAAACCAGATGTTGGTTACTTCCTAATCATTCACCATGCACCACTGGACCCATTTTTCTCTACCTTCATTACAAGTTCCTAGTCCAAATTTGTCAACTGTATCATCCTCTCTCTTCTTCCCTACTTTGGCATTCAGATCTCTCATGACAATTGTAATTTCCTGTGATTTGCATTTAACTTTAGTGTTGTATAGCATACAGTAAAACTTTTCAATTTCTTCTTCCATACATAAAGAAAACAAAATAATTTGTCCACAATTTTGATTTGGTTGTATAACATCATACCCAAAAATTTAAAAAATACAATAAAAATAAGATTTTGTTAGTTGAATTTAACAACTTAAGTGAATTCTTGTTACTTAAATATACCTTAAATAAAACATGTCTCATAATTCAGATAATGTAAAGTTCATTAAATAATACTCTTAAAAATAGATTTTGTACCAAATTTCCTTATATAAAATTTAAACAACGAAAGTTCATTATTTTAGTTGCCATTTATTCTGAATTTATCAGTCATGAATTACTGTTATTTGTTGATTTTAATTTTATTTTAATGTTATACATTGATTTTTTTTTATTGTTTTTACTCTGAAGGTGAATTCCCTTATGCTCTATGACAGTGACTCAAAAGAATCTTCAGCAGAACAGAAAAAATTATTAGAAGTAAAAAGAACTCCTTCAAATTTTAAGAACAGTATTTTTACTGTGAGTATTTGCATATAAATGGAAGAAATTTTCAATATTATGTCATTTTCTTGATTATTAAATAAGTTTTAAATTGCATTTTCTTTATAGAAGCAATTGTAAGCATCAAAAGATTTAAGGTTGAAATTGTAAATATAAAGTTTCAAGAACTAGTAAATCTCAAAAGAATTTTCATTTACCATACTTTGATAATTTGCTTTCATAATGTTGAGGTTTTCTTTCAAAATTAACAATTGAGGGTTTCCGATTGCTGTGTCACCTTAGATAGAAAAAGACTCATATTTATCAACCTTGCCATAATTTTATCAAGAGTTTTGTGCTGATAACCTTGATTAACTGAGACCTCATTATTTCTCAACTGTCATCAGAATGCTTTTAATCAGCACTTCTATTTTATTTGATAAACAAAAAGCAAGTTTTTAAATAAGCTAGTAATAAGTATGTGCATAAGTACGTAATAAGTACAGTAGATAAGAAATGTAAATAAAACTGAGTTATTTCCTGAATGCAATTATTTTTGCATACATTGATACAACTTACTTTGGGATTTTATTCTTTCATTTTTTTCCCCCAACTTTATAAATAATTCATTCATGTTAGATTTATTTATTTATCTCCTTATGGCATCATTTTAAAATGGGTGCATGTTTTAAGGTTATAGAATGAGAAGAAATGAAATAACAGTGGATTGTTGCTTTATTTCTTTTTACACTGCTACTACTTTGCAACTCAGTAAATAATAATCAACTCTAAACAAGTGGCTAAAATTATTTTGCTGGTCCACACATATTTATGTACACAATGAGATTACATGTTCAAACTTCTCATCATAAAAATTGATACATCAAATAAAAATCTACCTTAAAATTCAAGTAGAAAAATTTAAGAAAAATATTCATTTTATTTTTTGTATAATGACATTTTATCCTATACAAGTTATGCAGAGGAGTACGACATTTCATGCCAATTACATAATTTTGTCACTTTATATTGCTACTATCTTTTTACATAAATCAAAAGGGATCTGATGGCAAAGAATGCAAACAATTCAAGAATTCTTCCCTTTTTATTTTCTTATCAAGAGAAATGTTTTTGTAATTAGCATTTAATAAACATAGTTATTGCCTTTGGACATACTTCCCTTCCCCCTTCCCTTTTTTTTTTTTGTCCATTTATACTTGAATAAAATTATTTGGAAATTTGTGACCTAATCAAACTGAAATTGCTTTATCCTCCAATTTAGAACATTTTAACTGATTATGCTAGCCAAAATTTCTCAATGGTTTACCATTTTTGCTTTGTTATATTAACAACCATTGAAACTGAATCATTATATGACATTTCTCACTAAATATATTCCTAGTATTAGTTTAGATCAGTGGATCTCAACCTTTTTTTACCCATGGACACCTTTCCCCTTCTTTTTATCTTGGTGGACCCCTTCATAGCTATTGGACATAAGAACAATTTTCTATTCTTCACTAATATAAATTTTAAGGTTTTAATTATCAAAGAAATAGTATACGATTAAGCTTTATTTTTAAATGAAAACTAATTTAATACAAATAAAATATTCTACTATAATTATAATAATAATTATTATTACTATTTTTAATTAACACAACAATTAAGTTTTGCCTGTGGACCCCCGGAAATATTACATGGACCCCTAGGGTCCATGTAGACCCCGGTTGAGAACCACTAGTTTAGATAAATATGTTATTTTTTTTTTTATGTGGATGGATTTTGTTATATTCACTGTTTATATTGTTTCATGTTGCTTGATTGTTGTACTTTCTGCTTTGTTTGATCACAGATGCTACAATCAACCAGGGAAATCTTCCAGAAACCTTTATTGCATAACACCTGTGTCTTATTGGCTATTAGTTTTACCCTATCATTTGGGTTAGTAAATTCATTTGAATTATTTCTTTCCTATTTTTGCTTATCTGACCAGTTCATTAGTCATTTTGCTGCAATATCAAATTCAAAAATGCAATCTTACTTTTGGGGCAGCTATTATGTGATAAATTTACTTACTCTGTTCTTTTATCTCCAATTTCGATTTATGTGTAATTTAATCACACATAAGTTCACTAGTTAATTTTTACTAGCTGCATTATTTTATTTTTATTTTTACCTGTCTTTTCTAAAAATGTTTTTAACACTTCCAATCAATTAAGATCACAAGTGACACTAATTGCCAATTGATTTGAACTTTATAAAATGGTAAATAATAAGGATTTCTAAACGCAAAATAAGTAACAGAACTTTCCAACAAACAGAACTGGCAAAGTTTGCAATAAGCAATAACAAGAAAAAGAATAGGGCAAAAAAAGAAATCAAGATACTGCCTCTGTGTGAGACAAACCTTGTCTCGTCTATTCCCTCCTCTGATCTCTTGATCCCCGGCTACCTTCCTCTCCTCAGGAAAGACTCTCTAACCCACATGCATGGCCTTGGTGTCTATGTCAAGGACCATCTCCCTCTGGCCAGAGAGTTGTCTCTCGAATCGCCAGACCATTCGTACATGTGTCTCCGACTATCTCTCCTCAATGCCGTAAGATATCTCTTCTTCCTCTATCGCTCTCCATCCTCTCAAGACTGTGGGATACTCGATAGCATATCTGACAGCATAGACAAGGCCCTCTCTCTCCACCCGTTTGCTCACACATTCGTGTTTGGTGACTTTAACGCCCATCATACCAAGTGGCTTGAGAATGCTACTATTGACCGGGCTGGCATTCAAACACTTAATTTCTCACGCAGATAGTTAACTTCCTGATGCGTTTTGCCCTCAACCTGGTAGGTAAGGCCTCCCTTCTCGATCTGTGTTTTACCTCCATCCCTGAATCTTGTAGCGCCACGCAGCTCTGCCCTCTTGGTAACTTAGATCATGCTGTAGTATCTGTTAACATTTCCTTCAACTCCACACCCTGCAAAGAACCTACCATCATTAGAACCTCGTTCTACTATCAACGAGCGGATTTCGACTCGTTCTGTGACTTCCTCCGCAATGTCCCCTGGGATGTTGTCTTTACACTCCCTGTCCAAGAATGTGCTTCTAAGGTCTCATCCTGGGTTAAAGCCGGAATCGACGCTTTCATCCCCTCAAGGAAATTTAAGGTCAAGTCGCACTCCTCTCCTTGGTTCTCCACTGCTTGCTCAGCTGCCATTGCCCATAGGAACCACTTCTTTCACCTATTTCATAGCGACATGTCGGACTGTAATAGACGTCTCTTTGCCTCTGCCGTAACAAGTGTAAGCATGTCCTCAATGAAGCTAAGTCAATATTTGCTGCTCGGATGAAGGAGTGTATTGCATCTTGCAAATTTGGCTCCAAAGATTATTGGCGGCTCTGCAAGAGTGTCCTGAACAATAGAAAACCCTCCATACATCCTTTATTCAACCAGTTCGAGGTCTTGACCTCCTCTACCAACAAGGCTGAATGCTTTGCTCGGAAATTCTCATTTAATTCAACGCTCAACTCCTCCGGTGTACCCATACCAGACTTCCCTCTAAGAACTGAAGCCCTATTGAGCAGCTTACACATAACCCTGTCATTGGTATTGGGCATTATCTCCAATTTAGACCCCCACAAGGCTAGTCATGGAGATGGCATACCAGCCATTGTCTTGAAGAAATGCACACCTGAGCCCTCTCTAAACTGCCACAAGGAATCCTATTTTCCTGACTGCTGGAAGTCCTCATCCATTGTTCCTGTCTTTAAGAACTCTGGAGACCCCTCTGACCCCTCTAATTACCGTCCTATTAGTCTCCTACCCCTCTTCGGCAAAGTCTTTGAAGCCCTAATCAATGCCGAAGTGGTTAACCACCTTACATCCCATGATCTGCTCTCAGACAAGCAATATGGTTTCTGCTACGCCCGATCTACAGCTGATGTGCTTATGGCCATCACTGAAACCGTCTACCAAGCCCTTCAAAATAACAGTGAGGCTCATGCCATAGCCCTAGACATCTCCAAAGCGTTTGATAGAGTTTGGCATGCCGGCCTTCTTCGTAAGCTCCAGGGTTATGGTATTACAGGTCAATTGTTTGACCTAATACAATCCTTCCTGTCAAACCGTGAATTGAAGGTCGTTCTCAACGGATTCTCCTCCAGTTCCTATCCCACGAACACAGGTGTTCCCCAAGGCTCCATCTTTGGCCCCACTCTATTCCTTGTTTTCATCAACAACCTTCCTGACGCCATAGATTCCCAAGTTGGCATCTACGCGGATGACACTACAATTTACTCCTGCCTCAAAAACAAATCTAGTGTCGCTGACAAAACTAACCTGGCCGTGCATCTTGAAATGGACCTCCAATCAGTTGTTAATTGGGGCAGGAATTGGCTGGTCAACTTTAATGCCTCAAAAACTAAACTACTCTCTATTAATCACCATAGAGATCCTTCCCTGCCCCCCCATTAGAATGTCTGATAATCAACATCTTGAGAGAAACTCCCTGCGTCTGTTCGGTCTCACGTTGACTGCTGACCTGAGATGGAACAAATACATTGAGTCAGTTGCTTATTCCACCGCAAGGTAAGTTGGCTGTGTCGTGCCAGGAAATTTTTTTCCCCAGAATCGATACTTCAAATATACAAATCAACTATTCGCCCTTGCATGGAGTATTGCTGCCATATATGGTCTGGGGCACCTTCTGTTTACCTCGGAGTTCTTGACAAGATCCAGAGACGGATATATAATATAATTGGCCCTGATCTGGTGTCTCATCTACAGTCACTCTCTCACAGATGTGCCGCCCCTCTCTCTGTCTTTTTTTCTACAAATACTTTCATGGTAATTGCTCCGATGAGCTGCTTTCACTGGTTCCCAGACTCCATGAATTCAAGCGCCCTATGAGGCTGGCATCCCGCTCACCCACCCTTACACTGTAGAAACTTTTAAATGTAGCCGTCTCTTCTACTCCAATAGCTTCATACCTCGCACCTCTCGCCTGTGGAACACCCTTCCCAATTACTGTTTCCCTGAGAGCTATAATCTCCAACTATTCAAATGTAATGTCAATCGACATCTCCAGTTTCCTTGATCTATCCACTATCCCTCTCCTCATCCTTTCTTCTATCACTTCTATCTGCTCTTGCTCCAAATCTTCTGCAACCCCCTGCATCCTAGTGGCTTCATGCCTTGCTCGGGGTGTAATGCTTAAAAAAAAAAAAAAATTGGGAAATTAGAGTTGCAGACATAAAGCCATGTTAAAAAAAATACTGCAGAACTGAGCAACAAACATATATGCTTGGGCAAAATTTCCCTGTAGACCCTGCATACACCAACTCAGGCACCTGTCTACCTCCCCATACAAGACTCTGCCCTTTCGGCATACCCTCATCTTGGTTCATCTCTGCCCAGAGAAAGAGAGGTTGACAAGAGAGGAGAAAATTGAATAAAAGAGTGTTGTTTAAATAGTATTAGATCAGTCCATCTTGTGGTGGTGTTCAGCTACTCCACAATACATGGTATAATAACCGTGTCATATGGAAGTTTGCAGCAACAATGATGATAATAGTGTTGAAAACTATTGAAAATAAGTTCAATGACCAAATAAAATGTCTTTCATATTAATAATTGTAGAAAAACTGTTATGTTCCTATTTTCTGTTTTTTGCTGAGTTTCTTTGCATTTGTCTTTACAGTTATTACGGCTTGTGGATGTGGTTTCCTGAGATCTTTAACAAAATTGAGAAATATGGAGGCTCTGTGTGTGTCCCTGGAAAGCCTCATAACTTAACAAATAACACAGTAACAGAATGTACACCTCCAAACAATAATATCTACTTTGATGGATTTCTTACAGCACTATCAAATTTACCTGGGAACATCTTCACTATTTTTCTTATGGATAAAATTGGTAGAAAAATTTTACTTGGTAATTTTTTTATTTATATAATAATCTCCTTTCTCACTTGAGTGAATTATTTGCAATTGCTCAAACTAATATGGCAACCAGAAGTGCCAGGTGATCTTGCCACTATGCATTCTACTATTTTCGTTCTTGATCAAACTAACAGTGACTTCCAAGGTTTTGTGTAAAATATCTTTGGACAGCAGTGTGACAAATCTCTTTTTAGCTATTGTTACTTGATCTTTATCATATGTAAAGTATCTTGTCTGATTTAAATATCTAAATTATAACAACAAGGAAATAGTCCTGGGTATGATGATAAACTACATTCGGCAGAAAGGCCTCTGATCAGGAGATTAGAGGTTTTGAGGAGCATGGAACTAACTCTTAGTTGCTGCTGTTCCCAGGTTCAGTCTAATCCAGGGTGGTAGCACCTGTTAGGGTCCCAGCTATGAGCAAATAGTTAACCTCAAAATAAAAAACAAAACATTATGAAAGTATAAAAATACATATTTATAATAAAATTACCAGCAATACCTGTTTTTAGCAAAATGACCAGCAATACATTCTATCTCTAGTTGAAGGCATGTGATTGCATTCAAAATATTTGCATTGAATTGCCTGTGGAGGTTGATATGACACAGAACAAGATCAACCAACATGAAAGAACTCTTTCATAACATTGATCCATATAATATCTGACAGTTTCTTAAAGAAATCAAAATGTATTCCAAAATACAACAAAAGTACAACATAAAACTCGGCTATCACCGCATCTAGTAATTATGTTTACACAAACATGTATATGAACAAAAGCTGAGTATCATCTACCATGCATTCAATTGTGAAAGCAGAATAATATCATATTTTTATTACTTCAAAGATCCCAAGAAAATTAAATTTCAGCATTAAATGACACATAAGGAGTTGATATGAGTTGTATCCTTAAAGATATTACAAACAGACAATGGTGGTACTAGAATGAAGGAACAGCAACATGCACATAGATGAAAGAAGAGAAGTTTATTGTAAAAGAGAACCCACTACTGAAAGACATGGAATTGAGTGGCAGGCTAGTAATTCCTGATGCAAGCCCCCGGGTATATCCTGTGCCCACTATATATACCTACTGAGATAGTCAGTCCACATAGGCGACATGGAGTGTGGGACTTTCCATTACAATATCCCCACCTCCCCCTGAGCTAATTTTTCCATTAAATTTTGCTCAATACCTCTTCTTTTTGGTGTCAGGACATAATTGTTTGATTTTTTTTTTTTTTCCTCTTCTTAGTACTTTTCCGTCTCACCAATATGTCATTAAACAAACAAAACAAAAAGATTTTGTTTAGTTATTAAAATAAGGCAAAATATTTTGAGTTATTTTCTTTTTTTTTTTCTTTTTTTTTATTCAATATTTATTGTTTTTTTTTAATTATTTTCAGTTTTGTCTTTCATGCACTTTAATTCAGATTTTAATTGATTTTGTTTTGGGTTTTTTTTCTTTTTTTTCCAAAATTCTTATTAGAAAAATTTCTTTTGTTCGTGTATAAATCATGTAAATTTTATAACCAGTTAGAAATATGTATGCATACAGATTTTACCAGTTGTACAGATGATTCCAGAAATTGCGTTTTATCATAATGTTTAAATATCAATTCATATATTTATATAGAGAAGTCTGAAAATGAGTTGACTAAAATATCCATACCCTAATTTGTGAATTTATTTTTTATCTCTTTGTATAAACAGTGAGCAGCATGGTGATATCTGGAGCCAGTGTCTTTTCAATTTTATTAATAAGTAACCGAACAACCAACCTCATTGTATCTTGTGTGTTTGGTGGTGTCAGTGTCATTGGATGGAATGCTCTTGATGTATTAAGTACTGAGCTCTTCCCAACAAAAATCAGGTATGTAATGATGCCCTAATGTCTAAGTTAATATTGTATTATAATATTTTCATTTCATGAAATGTTTATATAATTACTATTAATAGGACCACAATTAATCTTTCTAATTTAGGAATAAAACATTAATTAATATATATATATATATATATATATATATATATATATATATAAGAATGAAATATTATTTTCAGTTTTAAATTTATTCAGTTTACAAATTTATAAAAATTTGATGAAAAGCAGTTTTCCTTAATTTTCAAAACCTTTGCCAAATGGAAAATTCCTTATAAAAATATTTCTCCTTTTCTATTCTTTTTGACATTATTGCATTTAATAATGTTGGGAATGTTTTTTGCGATTAAACAATGATTGTAGCACAAAATATTCCACATTTGTTGAAAGTTTGGAGTTGAGCCTTATTTGTGATGAATGAAATAACAATAAATTCTTGTCATTTTTAATTTTGCTATTGGGAGCATTATTTTGTACTTCAAATGTTTATCTAAAACTTTTTTCTTATATTTGTACATATAAATTATTTTTATCCTAAAAACTTATTTATATTTGTATCTGTAACCAGCCTTTTACCTTTTTCAATGCTTTTGCCTTTATTCTTGGCTATAGTGGTATATTTATAGTTCAGTGCAAAGAAGTATGTTCTAAAGAAGAAATACTTTCAAGAAAATTAAAACTGAGACTATATCAGGAGTGGAAAAATTCTTGGCTCAGTCAAGAAATTATCCCCACCCACCAATTTTAATGTTTGATCAAATTTGGAGAAGTAGACCAGACTGAGAACTTTTCAGCAATTCTTTGTATATCATAATGATACATATTTTATTTATTTGTTTTTGTAATTGCTTTATTACTTTCAAAAACTGCTATCTTGAGTTTCCTTGCATAGCTTGTACTGAATCTGGGAGTGGAGTTGATTATGGAGTTTGGGTGAATAGAAATTTGTTTTTGTTTTCTTAATGAGTTTTTCTTGTTTCATTGATCTCTTGTTTCTTCATTTTTTTTTTCTAGGTCCACAGGAATTGGAGTACAGTCAACAGCAATGCGACTTGGTGCAATCACTGGCAATTTGGTGTTTGGCAGTTTTGTTGAGTTGAATTGTTCTATTCCACTAATAATGGTATCAACTTTATTAATTGTTGGAGGCCTTATGGCTTTCAGGCTTCCAGATATGACAGGCAGAGACATTTTGTAAAACTTTCCTTCCTTTTTTTTTTACTTTAGCATAAAAATATTTTTAAAATACATTTTTTATAACACAAGGTACCACTGAAGGGTTTTGAAGAAATAAGAAACTTGATTCTCAAAACAATTATATCTGGTGTTTCAAATATTCAAGACAATCAGTAGGAAGTGGCTACTAATTGAACTGTATGATATGGAGCATATATTAACTTACTGAAATTTGATTTCAACATATAACCGATTTGACTTTAATTTTAGTCTCATAGTGGGTGTTAATAAATTATATTTATATACTTTTTGGACTGTGCAAAGACCTTTTTTAAGATGCATGTGCTAAAAAAAGAAAAAATGATGAGAAAAATTGTTTATATCAAAGAGCAGCATATTTGAAATGAACAAGTATTCTTTTCAAGCTCTGCACTCACAGACATTTCTCATAATAAATGAGTAACATTTACATCTTTTGGGTTGGGATTAAATATAACATTAAATATGTAAATTAGCCAGGATTAGTCACTGTCTCTAGCTTCTTCAGCTAGACTTATGTTCAGATCAGATTCAGCTGGTAAACAGATGTGAACTGGAAGTTGCTTTTCTTCTTTATTTTTCTGGTCTAAATATTGTTTCTAAATTCTTCATTGAATTTGTCATAATTTTATTTCTTCACAAGCAGACATTTACTAATTGCTCATAAATAAAATTAATAAGCTGGACTCTAATACTCAAGTTACATGTCTCCCCCACCATTCAGTTATTGCATCATGATTTTGAAATAACAAAAATGATTTATTCACATGAATCATTATAATGAATATTATTTAGAAAATTAGATGTACATGTATCATAGTGTTTATTGGTATGAAAATTGGTATCTCGAGTACAAATTCCAGCCATATTTGTTGTATTCACTTTTGCACAATTACCTTTAGGAAAGCTATGAATTCATCTCTTCTATGTCCAACTATGGTTAAATAGCAAGGTACACTGAGCTCTCTAGCCTTGGTTAGCAAACAGTGCAAGAGAATGAATTCAGAAATGTCTTTCATTCAGTGCTGCTAGTTCTATGACCAATTAATTTTGAATTGGCCGGATATGCAGCTAGAAATTCCACTCTGTGAAAACTTATTTGCTACAGAAAATAACATGTCAAACTGGTCTCTCTAGCTTTGATTAGCAACCTGTCTTGAAATGGTGGCTCAATTTTTTTTTTTTTTTTTTGTAAAAACAGCTAGCAACCTTGGCCCACTTGTGTGGATATGTTGACTTGCAAAAACACACAATGACTGAAATTTATAAGTCATGTGGTTTGCACAATCATCTTTTGGTAGAGATAGTGTCTACATTTTTTTTTTTTTTAAACTAACTTTTTTTTTGGTTTCTCAAATATTCTGATTGCTGTGTAGAATCTTTTCACATTTTTATTTTTTTCATTGGCTATTCTCAAAATATAGTAGTGACTCTTCATTTTTGTTGTTTTTTGTTTATATAAATTTAATGAAGATATTTTAAGTAACTAAAGATATCCAAATCTCATGTGCAGCCAAAAATAAGTAGAACACTATCAATACAATCAAAATTAAAGCACAAATTTTAATTTGAATCCTTTCAAATGTCTTAGTTTTTAAAAAAAATATTAAAGTATATATTTTCTTGTTAAAGCATCACATTCCTAAGATAAACCATTTGAAGTTTAGCAAAAAACAAAAGACAGACTCATGGTTTACTTATATGAATTAAAACTATTGTTATATTTTCTACTTCTCAGATGTTACCTGTGAAGTCAATATCCAGTGGTTTTTAAATTATTTCTAATTGGGAAAATACAGGTGTCTAATTTTGCTACAGTTTACATATTTGATGTTAATTTAAAATGATGATTAAAATAAAGAAATGAAAGGTTATGATAACCAAGAAAGGAAAAATAATTGATTGGGGCTGATGAAAAATTTGGGAGTATTTGATCTAGAAATCTTTTTTCTTCAGATTTTGACAGAATCATAATATAATGACAGAAATTACAGATAATACTTGTTTGTTAATTATTTTAAAACTAAATTTCAATGAAAAATAACCACGAAAAATGACACATTTTTATTTAAACATTATTAGACATTGCAATTTTCCTTTGTTACTGAATGGGGAAGTGGAAGTGAACTTTTAAAAAGAATTACTAGATTGTACATTTCACAATTATTCTAAAGTTAAGGTGTACTATTTCAACTCAATATTTTTTAAGATAATCCATTGTATATTTTGTAAAGAAATAATGAATCATCATAAAAT